TCGAACACGATCAAATTTTATTAAATGATTTTGTTAAATGGATGTTGTTAAAATATTTAAAACGTAAAATAATTTAATTTTTCTTATCACCGGTCCTCTCTCAAAAAAAAGAAAAGAAATTATGGAAAATGGAAATTCAAAAATTCATTTCAAGAATTCATTTCTAAGGTTTTGGAGATTTAATATGTGTTGAAATAGAATTGGAATTTTATTAGATAATGTATTATTTCTTTCAGTGACTTTTTACATTCATCGATACATATATCGCGTGTAAGTTCTTGAAAAACTTATCGTCTTTTATGGTAATTCCCTTATGGAATTCCTCTTCAGATAGCTTTCAAGGTATTCAATTTCTTGTTATTGAAAAGTCGTATAAAGATAGCATACCAGAGAACGGAAATTAATTTTATGATGATTAAAATGACGTCAGAAATTCGACGTCAATCTACCACGAACGATGACAAAAACTACATCTATCTTTATTGGTTCAAGTCAAAAGAATGTTTGAATTGATCAACAAATCTTTCTACGAGAATATATCATGATCTCATTTACATATTTTAACGTAAATTTTGAATATTCTGCATTCAACGACGTGATCAATGATATGAGAAAAATTTTCATTAAAAAAAAAAAAAAAAAAAAATAGATTCTTCATTCATATATATTCAATTTATTACTCGTTATTACTCATAATTGACAGATGACGTATTTCCAAATTATTAATAAACAAAATTTATAAAAATCTTCATAAATTATTATATTCAAATTATCTTATAAATTATTATCCGTTCGAATATCTTGAATTAATATCTTTGTACATAAAACATACAAATAAACTGATATAAAAATAAATTATATCAATGGAAGTTTACAACTCTTGCAATATAAAATGCATCGTTGCATTAAAAAAAAAAAAGAAAAAATAACAGTTTGTCATAAATATGTTTCAAAACCATATTTAATCTTTTTCTCTTCCAAAACATCATTTATGTCATGTCCTGTCCTCGTAAAAATTATTAAATTTTATTAATTACTTACTAGATTGGTTTGCTTTCGCATAATCTGGAAGCAGAAACAGAAAGATAGCATCTTGAAGACGCCATGAGGATGTGGGCGAATGTTTGCAACATGTAATGTTTGCGCGTTGCTAGTTAAATCGAAATAACAGCTGCTCTTCTGCGTACTACTCGATTACAAAGATAAAAGCGTCATTTAAACATTATTCTCCTTATTCTCGCTATTTTTTTTTTTTTTTCCTCCCAGCCGTTTTAATGGCTGCGATTTAAGCGAGACGCGCTGCCTTTTTACATCCATCGACCTTGCCGCCCCCATCATTTGCACTACTTGAAGCGTTTTACCTAACCGCAATTATTTCACCCAGGGAATGTGGATCCGTTGCACGCGTCGGGCGTCGGGTTTTATACAAAGCGGGGACTCGATATTTTTAAAACGCTGACGACTATGTTTGCCGATGGCAAAAGAGGAACGTAAAACGTTGATAGATAGTTGGATTGATCGGTGGCCTATTTATTTCTGAGATGTAATCGAGATGAGTTGCTTTATTGAAGTGACCTGATTCAGAAATAAATCAGATATACTTTGAAACAGAATTTTTAGAATTGGAAAAAAAGAAACTTGGAAGTGTTACACGTTACATTGAATCCAAAATAAGTAGAGCAAAGGTTTTTACAAGAAATTTGTCTCTTATTTGTCCAATTCTGATACTACACTACTAACATTCATGCTACAAAGATGGAAAGAGTTCAAGAACTTCAAGATCCAATCGAATCGTGTCGATCCAATTCCTTCAAACTTGATTCTGAGCCTTACGATCAGTTACGTGCTCACGTACTGTCCAGTCGCATGCTCCTCGATCGATCCTTTGCAGAAAAAAAAAAAGAGCAACATTTAAGACCACGATAAAAATACCGAACATACCTTCAAAAATGAAAGAACACGATCACGTAGCAAATGCGATCGTGTTTACCAACGTGTTTTCCATCGAATCCAAGATTGTGCATCGAACAATCGAACGCACGAAGCCGAAGGGCGGTGCAAAATCGGCGAACGCCCGTGCCACTTTCCAACCAACCGTTACCAGAATCGTGTGAAATTTCGTCGAACGCGATCCAAATAGAAATCATTGATCGTCGAGCCGCGATCGAGAGGCGATTCGGCCGTATTTGCATCGGAATTCGACGCGAAATCGTGCAACCGCGTACTCCTCCACAACGCCACTTTCGTAACGGAAGGAGAGAGGGGAGGAGAGGAGCCTCCTCGATCGAATCTTCTTTGAAAGGAAATCGGGAGTGGAAACGATTTCCTTCGCGGCGTATTAACAATCACAGATGCGATTTGCATAAACGTCATTGCGGTGCCGGTAACGCCTGTTGCTCCACATTCCGGAGCGTGGTCGTAACGCGGCAAGGTCCACCTTTTGTCAAGGATGAAAAATTCTTCGCCTGTCGGCGCACAGCCTCCTAATTACCCACCATATTTTCCCGCGTCACTTAGACCAATTAAAATCGGCGATACGGGTCTTTTGTAACGAGTCGTGTGATTGATCGTTTGAAATAGATAAACGCGTTTCCGGAATCGTGGGCAATGGATCATTATGAGGTTTGAAAAAATTAGATTAAATTGGAGTAGAAACGAACTGTCGTAGGGAAAAATCAATTTGATTAATTCCATGTAATTTGGTTCTTGAAAGATTAGTTTATAAAATATTAAAACTATATTTTCAGGAATTGATGAAATTGATCACTTCTTAGAAATAAATTCTAATCTAAATTCCTAGTTATATAAATAATTAAGTAGCAGAGGATTTGAATTACATTGATTCATAGTCAAATATATATTCACGAATTTTTAATCAAATCATTAACACTATTTATTCATTGGTTATTTCGACAAAATAATTACATCAATATTTGTTTCTCATCTTCATTATCTCTGTTTTTATCAATGTTTTCGTATATCAATATCTTGATGTCGTGATTATGCAATGTGTAGTGTAATATTGTTTTAAATATACTGTCAATGATAACCTTCATTTTTTGCATGCTCAATATATAAGGAAGGGATTACACGCTCAAAATCAAGTTAAAATCTAAATAAAAGTGAATAAATTAAACATCTATCATCACATGCGAAATATTATCATCAATTTTTTTTCTTTGATTTTTTTCTTTCGATTATTTTATATAATATTCGTAAGTTCTTAATGGAAGGAAATATAAAACATGATTCTAAGAATAATTACAAAACAAATTGCGTAAATGTTAATATATTTCTATTTTGATACTTTAGATAATCGAATATTCTTTTTTTCTACAAATTCTTCTCTTCTTTATTCAATTTATTTAAGTAATTAAAATTAATTGTAATTAACAATTGTACAACTTTAATTATTGATTAAATTTTTGTCCAATGCAATAAAAAAAAAAAGAAGAAAATTGTTCAGAGAATTTATAAAGTAGAGGACAGTCTCTTTTTCTATCATGTTTTAATTAAAAAATGCATTGACTATTCCTTACATAATTGGAAAGCGTGCGCGTGATTTTTCGTGTTATAAAACTGCATTAATAGGACTGTAATTAAAATGTTGATGCCCACTGAGCAAGTTAAGTGTTGAAGAATTAGCGCAATAAACTCGAATTTCTTCGACCGCCTCGAACAGTACTTTCCACGATTAATTATAAATCAACGTGATCGATGATAGGACTCGTTGCAAATTTTCATCTAATTAAAAAAGAAAAGTTTTCGTCAGAAACGTTCCTATTACGTGGTGTAGATTTTATTGATAAAAAACGCTGTTGTAACGATCTCTTCTGGCATTCTCATTTGAATACTTTGAGCCATGCCATTTCGGTTAAGTAATTTAGTTCTTTACATCATTATAAAATATTTTGATTATTTTAAAATTATACATTCTTCCAATTCTTATCCATTCTTCTAAAAAATACGATAAATACATTGAATATTAACTTCTATTATATTTACACATATAATTCTTCTATAACTATACATTTTTAGAATTTACAAGAGTCAAAACGAATCATTTATTCTTTTTTTTTTATTTATTATAAAAATAAACTTATTAAAATTATATTTAATTATTAAAAAAAAGTCAAAATTAATATTAAATTCTGATCCTTAGATAAATTTCACAAATTTGATTTTATAACCGATATTACGTCCAATTAAGATTGATCAAGATGGCGATACCGACAGGTACCACCTTTTCCTTCGGTCGATCGCCGTCTCTCACGAGTAAAGCCGGCACGGTTGCACGTGACTATGGTGCACGCGTGACACGTGCATGCATGCCAGACCTACAAACAGCTGTCAGTAGGTCTGGTCACAACCAGAGGCAAGGAAAAGTTAGAAAAGGCTTTGCGAAACTGGGCGGAATCGCTTTTACCACCCAGCCGCGGCATAAACGTTTGACCTTGCTCGATGCAGCGCGCGTGCGCGCAAGCTGAAGTCGGTAAAAGTTTCGTGCCTGTCGAAATCGCTTTGGAGACAGTTCTCGTGTTTTATTGCCACAATTACGATGATATTACGGTGCTTGAAAATTCAGGACAACGCGGAATTCATGCTGGTTAGAGTGCAATTTACTTGCGCTCGGTGGAAACCGGCGGTTTGTTAATTCGTTAACCCTTTCTGGAACTGAAATTTGTTCTTTTTCCTGTTTTTGTTCATACGAACGATATTCTATGGAGATTTACAAATCCTAAAAAAAAATTGCATTAGTAAATTTACTTAATAAAGAAGTGAGAAAAAAAATTTTTATATTTTGGACTTGAAATGTAGATGTACATGATGCATTTTAATTCTGAACAAAAAAAAAATAAAATTTGTGATGATAGAGTGAAGGTAAAGTGAAATTATATTGGAACTTGCACATTCTAAAATATTAATTTACTTTCTTACATGTATTTCTTTTTTTTATATTGTGATTATGATTAATATTCCGTTTTTATTTTCGTTTACAGAAAATTTAGCACCATCAGAATTAAAAAAATTGAGAAACAAGCAGAGGAAACAACGTAGAAAGGCTGAATTGGAAAGACAGCAGGCTGCTCAAGCTCAAGAAAAGAGAGAACAGCACAATAAATCACGGCAACAGACCGATCCTGATTTAGAACAACCTACGCTAGATGAACTTATACCGGAGAAACTGGAGAGGGTTAGTAGATTTATTAATCGGTTAAATTAATTGTTCGAAATAATACAGAATTTGATTCAAATTAAATGCTTATTTTCAGATCGAAGACCCGTTAGAGCAAGCAATCAAATTTTTACAACCATTACAAGATTTGGCATCGAATAGAATAGAGACGCATCTTATGGCATTTGAAATATACATTCGTAAAGGTACGTAAATCTTCGAATAATTATTTTCTTTTGCGAAGAAAAGTTATTTTTAATAAAAGTAATCACTTAAAATAATTTGCTATTTATTACATTATTTATAATAATCAAAAACATTGTAATATTTAATATATTAACAATTACTTTTAAATAGTTAATAATGATTTTAAAATATAATATTACAAAATGCTTCAAAATTTAATTGTATTAACCAATTTTTAATGCAATTTTTAATAATGAAATGCTTCTTGCAGGTCGTACCTTGTTAATGTTAAGGTCGATAAAACGTGCACACGGTCTAGATCCTAATAATCCAGATCTTCATACATGTTTGGTACGTTTCATGTTATACATTAACCGTTCACCGTTGGAAGGACCTGTAGGCGAAGTAGTGAAACGGCAAACATCAGGAATTTATTCAGCTTCAACAGCTACTCAATTGAATGCTGAATTCCTAAAAAAGAATCGAAACTCACTGCCGCATCTACTTCAGGGTGCGAGGATGTTATATGTCCTGGATCCCTCTGCTCAAACAAAAGCTCTCTCACTTATTACAAACATTGATGGTCTTGAAAGTGTAACACTCCAGAATTGTACAAAAGTATTGGAATCATTATGCAACGGTGACTTTGGTCATTGCGATTCAACGATCACTGATTATATGGTGAAATGTCATAAATACTTCCCATATGCGACCGCTTTTCGACCGCCAGAAACAAAAGTGACGGTAACGATCAAACATCAAGAAAAAGAGAATTCCATCAAGAACTGATCCAGGCACGCGCTGTCCAGCGTTACTGAAGCGTTATGTAGTTAGACGACGAGGCAAGTGAAGGAGAAGTATGTTAAGATATGTTTCGATCTACGTTGAAGAAACAAAAGAAAAAAAAAAAAAAAGAAAAGAAAGAACGAAATTAACGTTAAATGAAAAAAAAAAAAAAAGAAAAGAAAGAACGAAATTAACGTTAAATGAAAAAAAAAAAAAACGAACTTGAACGATGAACATATATAGTGAAAGAAGAAAAAGAAATTGGCGGATTTAATATTAATAATTATTAAACATGTATTATACACGAACTGTTCCTGGAACGTTTCATGTAGTGTGAACAGTGCTGGATAAACAGTCTTTAATAATAAATTATAACATGATGGGGCACGAGAGACAAATGCCTCTAAAGCGGTCCCGAATTTTAGGTGAACGAAGAAAAGAATGGCTTTAGCTAAATATTAATTAACAATTGGTACAGAACGAATTAAATGAGCGTTCTATCGACAGAACGTTCACGTTAAGAAGGATTGACAAAGTGTGAAAATGTTTAGTGCACGGATGGGATTGGGGCAGGGTGGTGAGGAATGGGGTGGAGTACAGTGTGTAAAATATATGACGTGCGTAAACTAACACATTGGTACAAAATACAAGACTTGTATACATTCATATGCGCGCTCTATGAATATTTCTACTTGATGTTAAGGTGTACTATTTTCAGCGATGTCTACATGAAATACTCTACTATGTAGAGTTTGAAAACTAGACGATCATCGAGCACCGATAATTGTACCACATATGTTCGACGCTACTTTTTGAGAATAGACTTTGTTCCAAGTCACGTAATTTGTCTGGTTCACTTCATTCGTAAAAACCGTTCAAATTTGTCAAGTGAACAAATACAATTTATCGTTTTCCTTCTAGAAATATCATTTTATTCCTATGTTTAAAACCAGGGTAATAATCTACGTTTGGATTGGAGCCCTGATATTCCATCGAGAGAACAGTCAATATGGAATTAATGTCCATTTGCGAAAGTCTCTGTACGAAACTTATTATAAGAACGATAAAAGTGCGTATTGTATACGCAAATTACCAAAGTATATGATAAATTGAAAAATAAGTGTCAATAGCAAAACAAACAGAATAAAAAAACATATATCTGTATGTGATCAGATACACAGAAATTTTAATAAAAGATAATGTTTAAATTTACAGGTATAAATCGAATGATGTTATGATTGCCTTGTTTATTTTTCAAAATGCCAATATATACTTATAAGTTGTGAGTTTCCTTGAATGAAAAAGAAAAAAGTTCAACAAAATGCAGATATTACAAACTAGTGATAATGTTTGTATATATTTCAACTATTACGTTAACAATATATATATAAATATACATACCACACTTCCTATTTTATTTAAGTCATAGAATATAATTTTGCGATTAGTTAATATAATAATATGGCAGTGTTAAAAGCTCACTGAATATCATCTTAATGGTAATCATAAAAATAAGATATTTGCATCAAGCGATATTCATAGTAATATATATTTAATACTTCAATTTGCTCCTAAAACATGCCGAATAAAATTTCACTACGTGCAAAATTAATCGATGGAATAATCTTCTATCAAAATACATTGAACATGATTATATTGTTTAAATTCATACCTTCTGTAAATGCATGGAATGTTTCTCAGGGCTACGTAAATAATATCGTAACATAAGCGATAATGTAGATGTTTTATTCATTCACTTTGCCATTAGTCATTTAATTATTGTACAATGCAAATAAAATATATGATTACTATACTAGTCTATCGATATACGAAATGTAAACAATTTACATTAGAAAAAATAATGCACATTATCATACATCACTCACATTACAACTTTTTGACCATGCATCTACCGAAGCGTTTTTATCTTTTAATACTATTTCTTTTTTAAATATATTATTTACATTTTACGCTTAAATTCATGCATAATTACTAAATTTTGGAAAGATAATGTGTATATATATATTAGTTGCTCCAATCTTTACCGGAGGTTGTTACCTCGATATAAAAATTTCTATTTCGCTCGTAAAACTAATTATCAAATCTTTAAGAAATAAATAATGTTGATTAAGGATGGTATATCAATCTTTAAAAGATTTCAGTTCAAATTTGCCTTTAAGTCCTTGATTTAATCAAACGAGCAAATAATAAGTGCATGGGTACCTCAACTCACATCCTCTTCCATCTCCTCATGTAAATGAATTCATCATATAGATTTTATATAAAGTTTATAACATATATATTTAAATTAACTTCTAAGATGACCTATTATACTAATTAAAAGGATTTGAAAGTCGAGCAAATTAATAATAATATATAAATTGCGATTACTTATTATTTTAATCATTGTATTACTAATATATACTGCCATTTGCAATAAGCTATTACAGTAAACTTCCGTATAACGCGGTTGTATAAATCTGCGTTATAGGAAATGCTGTATGAAGATTTTTCTCGTATAATACGAATAATATAAAGTAACATATTTGGAATGATTATTGTCATATTAATCTTTATTTTCTATATTCT